GGTAGCTTTGACTATCTTAAGCGCGGTAATACAGTATTCCCCAGCAATTCTACGGATGAGATGACTCAACGCTAGCATTCTTTTTTTTATAGCTTTCTTACGACTGATTTCACTTACCGCTTTATTTCCCAGAAAATATATTGCTTTGTCTTTTAATATCTATTCGTTTTGGCTACTAAATAGGACGTTCGTCGGCGCCAACGTCGAGACCCCTTCTATGACTATGATGCCGAAGAAGCAGAGGCGCGTCGCCTCCGCGAAGAGACAGCAGCCAAAGAAGCAGCCAAGGCACAGGCAGCTCCCTATACTAGCAGAGTCATTTTCCACCCACACTTTAAGAATGTAACCTATAGTCAAGTACTGGCCATGGAACCGAGCATGGCGGTCGGTGATATTCTCATCAGACCAAGCAGGAAGGTAATTCAATGCTTATTTAATGTCTGCAAGTATATAGAATCAATGTCAACTTTATATTGTCTAACCGGCCGCATTATTTATCGATTAAATATTTAAAAAACCTAGACCAAGTTGCGACGAGGTTAACTCACTTCTATAAATCGAAAGGAGATTGCGACACTACCAGAGGCCACAACATCTTGTTCTTCATACCTTCAAAAAACTAATGTTTTGAGAAATTTTATCCCCAATCAGCTAGATTCGCGATTCAGACTTTTTAATGAAAGTGGTGATATATTCCTTCTTCGCTCTCAAACAATGCCCCTGCCTTTTCTATTTTTATATTTGATGAACAAACTCTACTTCTTAATCGAGCTTTTGGTTGCCTATCTCTATCACTTCGCAACCGTCTAGTGTTTTTCTATGCCTCTTTTATTATATGAGATATATTCACACAATTTTGTCTAAGGTGATGAAGGACTGATAGTAGAATTTTCCCACAATGAATACATCTCATTACTTATTTTCTGATAGTCTCGAAACTACTTACATATTTCATTATAAATACAATAATAATGAAGTCATTTATTAACTTTATTGTCCATTTTTAGGGAATTACTTCATGGTTATTTTATATTCAAGAGAATGTCCTATTTTGATTCGCTTTCTCTTACGTGAGTGCCTTATCTATCATACACTTAACTGCCAAGCTTACTCATATGATCGTTGGTAAGGTATACTCAACTCTGCGTTTAGCATCTTATTTCTCCTAAATTGTTATAACATCTCCTATTTTTCAAGTTACAGCTACAAGCACTTATTTACGTTTAATGTATTAAACTATGGCTTGATGCAATTTAGATGTTTCGAATCATGGGCTCTTAATATGCATTCATGTGTAAATTTGTGAGCTCCAACATTTTATAACTATCAATTTTGGCACGTTTTCTCACTCCAATCCACATCTTATCGTATTATTTTGTTCTTGAGCACCTCTCCCAACTTTTTTATCAGATGATATATTCATCCCTGGTATTCATCGGGGAAACAATTCTATTTTTTACAGTTTTGTATACGAATACTTCGCAGACAATTTTGTCTTTAATCACACTAATATACTTATAGCTGATTTTCTCTTTTTTATTTGTTTAGGGGACTGACCACTTAACTGTCACCTGGAA